CTATAGAATAGAGTTCTGTGGGACATCATTTTGGGAAATGGTGTGTTTAGACTGATAAGGCTGACACAAGAACAACTTACATATTTCTCACATGTGTATAGATCAATCTGCAGCAAGCAAATCAACATCAAAACAAAGTAATCAAAAAACACCCAGGATGCCTCTTAAAAAATGCTTAAACAGTGTTTTGTTTTGTTTTGTTTTGTTTTGTTTTGTTTTGTTTGGGATCTTAGTGTTGGCCTACATGTGATAAAACTTTTCCTTTAACTTGACAAGAATTATGTTTTCCTTCTTATTTTAGTACTGAAGTGAAAGAACAGGCAGATGTCCCAGATTTATTCACCTCTTACTATGAAAGCTATAGGAGTGCTTGGCCTCTAAAAACACAAACAAGAGAAATGCATTTCTGTTATCGCTGCTGGGCTTTGAGCCCATCATTCTTGCTGCCGAGTGGCCTGAGGAGAACCAGAAAACATACCAAAATTAAATGACTTTTTGTTTATATTTTCTTCTTTCTGCTCTGTTGATGAAGCAGGTATTAATCTGCTTTATGCACTGCTGGCCTGGCGGGGTAGCCCTGCTCAGCTGAGGATGGCAGGAGAAGAACAGGTCATCGCCAGTGTCAGCAGCCACCCTGGACAGAAAACGATGGCCTTTGAAAAAACATTCCTCCTTTCTTATAGAGCATCACTACTTGCTGTTGTAACACATATATCCAATAATAGTTGTGGGCGAGCTTTTTAGAGTCAGGTTCTTACCGATTTGCAAGGAAAAAATACTGACATTTCCCTTTCTCCCCTCAAAATGCCTTTGGCATTCATTTATTTAACAAACAGTTATTTATTATTTATCGTGGGCTAGGCACTCTACTAAGTGCCAGGGTTACTAAGACCAGTAGCACAGTCCTAGAGAACTTGACAGTATAAATAACAGATTAAACAATACTCAGAATACTTTCCAAATACCCTCAAGAGTACCACAGCACTGCCTAAAATATAACTGTAGAGACTGGGAACTTCACTTTAGGGTCAATAGATTCTCAGAGATTGGGAGTCTAAGTCCACAAGAATGAATTCTCCATCAACCTGGAGACTTTTCCTTATTTTCTATTGTATTCTGAGCCAGAATAGAGACTCAAAAGAGATATTTATTGGCTATTAGTGAGCAAGGAGCTGGAGCCATCTAATAATGACTTAGCCATGTATGAATCTTCTCTATTTTTATTTCCAGTGCTAGCTTGTTTAGCTTTTCCTTGACAGTATTCCCTCACTGAGTAGCCCATTCCATTTTTGACCAGTTCTGTCAGGAAATTCTTCCTCATTTTGTGCAGAAACACATCCTCCTACAAGTTCTACCCACAGAGGTGCATTCTGTCCTCTGGGACTCCCAGAAACACACACACAACAATTCTCTCCATTGTTTCTTTCTATTTTGAAATTTTCATGTCTACAAAAAAGCTGAAGAAACAGTATAATACCTATATGCCTTTCATCTATTCACCAATTATTAAGAGTTTCCAATATCTGCTTCTTTATTACTCATCCTAGGTTTTTCCCCCGAATTGAGATTTAGTTGCAAACATAAAACTTTATCACCCTTAATACTTTGGCATATGTCTCCTAAGAATCACATTCTCCTGCATAATACCATTTCTATTCTATACCTAAAAGGGTAATATTTAATAAAATATCATTTAAAATTAAATTTATGTTTAAATTCTCCCCTCCCCAACTTTTTTAAAGTTGGGATTTTTCAGTCCTAGATTTTTTTTTTTTAAATTCACATATTAGATTTGGTTGTCAATATCTCTTTGGTCTCTCTCTCGTGTGTACGCAGTAGCATGATCTTGGCTCACTGCAACCTCCACCTCCCAAGTTCAAGCAATTCTCCTGCCTTGGTCTCATAAGGAGCTCGGATTACAGGCATGTACCACCATGCCCAGTTAATTTTTAGTAGAGATAGGGTTGGCCATCATGTTGGCCAGGCTGGTCTCAAACTCCTGACATGAAATGATTCACCTGCCTTGGCCTCCCAAGTGCTGGGATTACAGGCGTGAGCCACTGTGCCCAGCCTCTTTGGTCTCTTGTAATCTGGAATATTCTCCCAGTCTCTCTCTCTCTCTCTCTCTCTTTTTTTTTTTTTGCTGGGACTACTACATAAGTGTACTGCTTATCTCACGAGTGATAATATACATCTTGATCACTTGATTCAGATGGTGATCACTAGGTCTCTCCATTGAAAAGGTAAATTTTCCCCCTTTGCAATTAAAAACTGATCTAGGGGGTGATACTTTAACAACTTTTCCTAACAACTTCTTTTTTTCTTTTTTGAGACGGAGTCTCACTCTGTCACCCAGGCTGGAGGGCAGTGGTGTAATCTCGGCTCACTGCAGCCTCTGCCTCCCAGGTTCAAGTGAGTCTCCTGCCTCAGCTTCCTGAGTAGCTGGGACTACAGGCATGTGCCCACCATGCCCGGCTAATTTTTTGTATTTTTAGTAGAGATGGGGTTTCATTGTGTTAGCCAGGATGGTCTTGATCTCTTGACCTTGTGATCTGCCTGCCTCGGGCTCCTAAAGTGCTGGGATTATAGGCGTGAGCCACCGTGCCCAACCTTCCCCACTTTTTACAGAAGTTTTAGCTGCCACTGATGGTCTTTGCCTGCATCAACTATTACTTTGAGAATTACAGAATGATGATTTTCTAAATTCTGTCATTTCTTCTACATGGGATCCATTATCATCATTTTTTTGGATATTCAAATTGCCCCAAAATTTGGCCACTGAAAATCCCTTGAAGCTACCAACTGTCTTTTCAACATGACCCCATTAGTTGAGCACTTCCTAGCTTTCTATCACAATGAGAAGTCCAGGATCATCTTGCATTTTCCCCTAACCCAGATCCAGAATCCACTATTCCTCCAGTGGCCAGGGTTCCTTTTAGTAGGGAACAGCATTTATCAGGAAGAATTCTGCTAGTTTCCTCCATGTACCAGCCTTTGGGTGTCTGAAGCCAGTTATCATTTCCATCCCATGCACTGCCCCAAACTTCCACATCTAGGCTAAGTTTTCCCAATTCCTCACACCAGTCTTCCTATGATTTAGCTTTGACTTTTCTCTTCTTTTTCATCTTCTCTGTCCCAACTCAGCTGCTATATTCCAGACCAGTGCCCTCCACCAACCTGACTACGCATCAGAATCACTGGGGGACTTGTTTAATATACACAAATTTTGAGGATTCATTCCAGAATTATTAAATAGAATCTCTGGGGTGGGGCACGGGATTCTGTTTTTCATTTTTTTAAATGTTATATCTATATAACCAATCCACTGCATACTTCAATTTTTCAAGGTCTTGTGGACCCTGAATTGACGTCTATAGATACCACTTTTAGACTGAGTATTAAACTTCTTTCATGGTAGTCAAATCAGTACAGACTCTTTTCGGAGGAAGTAGACGTAGTGACATAGGATTTTTGATTCATGGTGAACTTATGAAGAACTAAATCCTTCAGACTTTTTCAAACATATTTGTAAGTCACATCCTTATCTTTTTATGTTCCACTGGTGTTTCATTCTAAGGATTTGGATTTGTGGCTATTAAAATTCATATTGCTCAGTTCAGTCCAATCTTCAGAATGTCAAAGGTCTTAGGGATCCTGGTTTTATCAAGCTAAGTATTTTTTACCCTTCTAACTTTTTATCACCCACAGTTAAGCACGCTGTCAAAGTCCTTTCTCTTACATTGCCTTACTTTTATTTTTAACAGATAAGACAGTGTACTGCTATGTTGCCCAGGCTAGTCTTGAACTCCTGGGCTCACATGATCCTCCTGCCTCAGCCTCCCAAGTAGCTGGGATTACAGGTGTGAACCACCATGCCTGGCTGCTATTCTTTTCAAGTATCTAAAACAAAACAATCTTACAAACTGTTTAATGATTATGGTGGTAGATACATAATTGTACATGCCTGTTAAAACTAATAAGATTATACACAAAAAGAATTAATTTTAATATATGTAAATGTACCTGGAAAAAAAATCAGTCAGTATTTTAAATACCCAGCTATATTCTTCTCTCAGATTAGGTCTCACTAACATTTTGATTGACTATTTTTGCAAAATGCATCGCTATTTTAAGTAATTAAGTTTGTATAGATTGGGTACATTAACAATTTAATGAGTACATTACTTTAACAATTCCCATAACATAAAATATTTTAAAAGGTGGTAGAATGTGGAAAAAGAAATTAATATTAGAAAAATTATAATCTTTCATAGTAGTGGGTTAAAAATATTAAATACAGTCTGTCAGTCCTGCCTACGAGAAGTCAGACAATTTTCCACCTTTAAGTTTGACAAGGATTTTTTAATGTACTCAGTGTTGGAGAAATTCTAGTGAAATATCCTCAGTGTGGTTGGGAGCTTAAGGGATACAACCTTCCTGGCCACTTGAAATACATAACAAGAACATAAAATAATCCATTTGAATATATGCATACACATATAATCTAAAAGTCTAGAAAGAAATGTACCAAAATTTAAGCAATAGCCAGCTGTCTCTGGCTGATGGACGGAAGTCTGGGTTTTGTTTTGTTCTGCATTTTTCATGCTTTGTATTTTTAAAATATCTTTTAAATTTCTACAGTGAACCAATATTCGTTATATGATTAGGAAAACAGCAATACACACTTAAAAAATACTGGTTAAAGGGAGGGGAGGAAAATAAGTCACAAAAATAAAGAAATGAGAGTAAAATTATTGTTATAAAGATATATCTGTCACTTATAGGAATTCTCAAAATAAAACATGTTTTCCAGGTAGTCAATAGTTTTATAAGAAATTTTTATTCAGAGAATGAGTAAGATTTCCCTTATGAAGCTTCTCTGAATGCCACAGAAGATTTCAATAGTCAGTAACTCTAAAGAGGACACTTACATTGCATCCAAACAACATTTTTCAAATAAAAAGCGTTATACAGAATTATTGGATAGTGTAAATTCATACCTTGAAGAACGATGTTCTGGTTTATTTCGTTCGTTGCGATCTGTGGAGAAAGAAGATGGTTACATGTCAAAATGTTCTTTCAAAGCTCTGGAAAGAAGTTTTTAAATATCAGCTGCTATACCATGAGATTTCACAAAGGACTGTTCAAAGGTAGTTGTGTCTTCCTAAGTATAAGGCCCTTCGTCACCTTTCAGAGGATTTGTCTGACAGACGTAGAAAAGACTCAATGAAGAACAAGCATAAAACCTTTTTCTGGTTAAAGTCATCTACTCGGATAATGTATCCTTATATGTATTATTTCATTTTAAATGATCTTTCCTGTGCTAAACACTTTGCTAAAACTAGAAGAGATTTAGCTAAGGAAAGAAAGCAAGGAAACTGCAGAGCCACAGATTACTCAGCTCAAAAAAATCATTCCATGAATCATGGTTGGCAGCAGCTTCTAAGAGGATGGGGAGGGGGCATAAATGAGCAGTCAGTTACAACATCTGCAAATACTAAGACCAGTACAGCTTCACCCTTAACTATCTATCACCCAGAACATTTCAGAAGTTGGATGTTTCTCCAGTAATTAGATACAATGTACTCTCTATGTAAAATTTTTGATCATCACGACTGGGAAGAAGGGAGCTCTCATGGGTAGAAAGCAGGAATGTTGCTAAAGGTCCTACAATGCATAGGGCAGCCCCTTTTATCAAAAGAATTAACTCATCCAAAATTTCAGTAGTGCAGAGGTGGAGAAACCCTGCTACAGGGTAAGAAATAAGAACACAGATGCTTGAACTTTTCAAAAGTGCTTCTCCAGACTGCTGTAAAAGGCTATTAATCAACCTTGAGACTATCATATACAAGAGAAACCACCACAAAATCCACAAGTTGTGTTTTTTGAATCTGAGTAACAATTTTCCCCCACTATATGCTTAAGAATTAAAAATGCAGTAAAAGGCTTCAGTGTTATGCGAAAATAAACAATATAAAGCAATATACAAACTACAACATATCCTAAGCAATGATTTTAAGAAAAAATCCTACAGAATATTATCAAAATACAGTTTTTTATAGTATCTTCTGAATTAATGCTAACAAGATAGAATTTAATGGCAAAGTAAAGATTAGACAGGAATTCTTTTAGTTTTTCCTTAATTTTATTGCTAGTGGAAGAATAAGGATTATGAACCATACTCTAAAACTTATAGAAAGACATGTGGAAGAAAAGGAATAGGATTTATACAGTTAAATGTATGTAACAATTCTTTCTGAATGAGTTCATAATAAAAAAGCAATGTTTTTCAAAGCCAAAGAGTTAGTACTCATGAAAACACTGTTCTCTGAAAGACTAATAAGTAGAGGGATTCACAATAAAGCATGTCTGCTTAGATGTAATGCCCTCCAAATATACAATGTTAGCATGTTTCTGGTTCCAATTTCTCTACACTGTGACTCAGTATTACTGCAGCTTTTAGAACTTTTCTGTTTTAACTTGGTTTTACCCCTCCCTTAAATGAAAATATGTTTTCATTTGATGAGTATTACGATTTTAAAATCATAGTAATACAGGGCACATTTAAATCATTTTTCTTAATTGTTCTTCTCCAGTTTTTAGCCTGCTAGCTTCGCTACAAAAGTGAAATCAAATGTCTAAAAATAAAGTCAGAAACTGAATACAGATGAGTTATCCTCATATAACAAAGTAACAACTCTTACCTGTGGCTAAAGTCAAGCTAAAACTCTGTCCAGAACATCATTTGGTGTAGCTGTGATCCTAGTTTCATAGTTTATTTAGTCTGTAATAGCAAATTTCCCCACTAATCTTCCTAGTGGTACAACACACAAGAGGAAGGGAGAAACAGAGTCACGATGCATGTAAACAAGACTCAGTATCCACGGGCTTCCCTCCAGGGCCTGTTCTGATTGGCAGATGTGCTATGACCAGTCTGCACAGCTGGAATGTGGCCACTCAGGAAGCAAATGGCTCACAGCTCTCTTCATTCTTGGTTAAAACAGGAAATTCTGCAGTCATTTTTATACTTTCTGCTCTAAGAAAATATGAATCCCTTCTCATAGCACTTCTCTATTGAACCAGTAATTAAAATTCAAGAAAATACTTGATTATCTGCTGGAGGAAATTTTAAACATTTCTCCCCAAGTTCACTATTAGTGTTATCTGTGTTACATTCCTGTGTAAATATGGATATACAGTACTTATAAAATGCTACTCCTAAGAACTCATACAGTTGATAATTTGAGGGTAAGGGCAAATTATCCCTCACCTCTTGACAATGAAAAACAAATTAAAACACATGTTCTTGATCTTTTCCCTCAAAGCATACAAATTTTTGGATTTCCAATTTTGACACATAGCCATCTTTTAGCTTAAATACATATAAATATGTGGGGTGTGTGTTGTATATCTGTGTGTCTTATATACTTATGCTTTTTCATATACTTACATTTTAAATAAAGTAATTTTCATGATAGTCAAGATTATTGTACAATTGTCAAGAAATATATTAGTGGAAACGATAAGTTCTTGGCAAAATAATAAGTGGTTATTATTTTGGTCCAAAAACCAAGACTGAACAAAACAAATCACTGAGGGTGGATTCAGAATCTGCTTTTTTTGCCAGCAAAACAGTTGGATAAAATCCCCTTAAGAATGAGAACAGGCTGGGCGCGGTGGCTCAAGCCTGTAATCCCAGCACTTTGGAGGCCGAGGCGGGTGGATCACGAGGTCAAGAGATCGAGACCATCCTGGTCAACATGGTGAAACCCTGTCTCTACTAAAAATACAAAACAATTAGCTGGGCATGGTGGCGCGTGCCTGTAATCCCAGCTACTCAGGAGGCTAAGGCAGGAGAATTGCCTGAACCCAGGAGGCGGAGGTTGCGGTGAGCTGAGATCGCGCCATTGCACTCCAGCCTGGGTAACAAGAGTGAAACTCTGTCTCAAAAAAAAAAAAAAAAAAAAAAAAAAAAAAAGAATGAGAACAGATCTATAGCAAACATGGAAATTTAATCTTGGCTATATATAGTGCTTTAAGTGTATAGATTTTATTTCAAATCAAATACTCTTCACCACATTCTTCTAATTTTTTCTTTTCTTCTTTTTTTTTGAGACAAGGTTTTGCTCTGTACTCCAGGCTGGAATGTGGTGGTTCAATCACAGCTCGCTGCAGCCTTGAGCTCCTGGGCTCAAGTGATCCTCCCACCTCAGTCTTCCAAGTAGTTGAAGTAGTTAGGATTACAGGCACATGCCACCATGTCCAGCTAATTAAAATTTTTGTTGTTGTTGTTGAGACACGGTCTCCCTATTTTGCCCAGGCTGGTCTCAAACTTCTGGACTCAAGGGATCCTCCTGCCTTGGCCTTCCAAAGTGTTGGGATTGCAGGTGTGAGCTACCGTGCTCAGCCTTCCAATTTTTTTTTTTAGTTTCTAATTTTCAAATAATTGGGGGAGGATATTTCTAAAGGTTTTCTGAACTTCTGCATATTTAGAAATCATATGAATTACTTTCTAGCCCAAAGTCTCACCATTTCTATAAAAAAAGTTATTAAAAATAAAATGCCTTAACTCTAAAATTTGCCAAATGCTGCACATTTGCTGTGGATAATATACTTATTCCAGGTTCCCACCCAGCAGAGCATGATGGTTTAGGTCACTCAGAGACCAGCAGTACATTCTCAGTGTGATGGTAAGCATGGCTGGGTAACCACGTAATGGTTTTGTAGGTATGTGTATCTTTCTCTCACACACAAACCCCTACCTCTTGCATTCCTTGTCCCTCTCATCCATGCCTCATGGTTAATAAAGCTAACTAAGCAATAGAAGAGTACTCTGTAAGTAGAACAAAGACAGAAAAAGAGGCAGAGGCTGTATGCGGTGGCTTACGCCTGTAACCCCAGCACTTTGGGAGGTCAAGGTGGGAGGGTCACCCGAGGTCAGGAGTTTGAGACCAGCCTGGCCAACATGGCAAAACCCCAGCTCTACCAAAAATACAAAACGTTAGCTGGGTAGGGTGGTGCACGCCTGTAATCCTAGCTACTCAGGGGGCTGAGGTGGGAGGATCACTTGAGCCCAGGAGACAAAGGTTACAGTGAGCTGAAATTGTGCCATTGCATTCCAGCCTGGGTGACAGAGTGAGACTCTGTCTCAAAACAAAAACAAAAACAAAAACAAAACAAGGCAGAGCTGGCACAAAGACTGTTGGTTGTGTGTGTATAAATGCTGTAGGGGAGATGTGATGTGAAGGATGCAATGGGGGGACCCATGGTATGTCAAGGGGACTGAAGAACACTTACGGGAGGGCTAGGATACTATCATGGGTCAAGGACTCTATGTAAGAACTCCAGATTATCCACATTTTCCTTTCATGTCAACTTGGTTCTACATAATCTAGACACACGATTCCAATGTTTATGTATTTCGGTGTTATACCACTTATGTAGAAATGGGTCCCTGTTCTGGCAGGGACAGATTTTGGGTCTGGTTATCCAGATCCTACTGATGTGGAGCCATTCAGGGTGATTCTAACTCTAATAACACTTTGAAATTGAGATGACAAAAATGCAAATGTCATCTTTGCTTTGATTAAAACTAAGAAGAATAGCCAACTTGGAACTTATTAGAATCTGTTGTTAAGACATTCAGGCTTTGATGATTTAACTTTGATCACTTAACTGGAGAGAAAAATCAAACCCCATTGGGTAGGGACTTACTTTACTAACTCAAGTTGGAAATGAAAGGCCTGAAATCATTCTTTGAAATTAGGGGGAAGGCTCAGTCTACATGAATGAATTTATACAGATATACTCACAATGGAGTAAAAAGTGGTTTAAAGTGAGTCTATCTTATATGTCATATTGGCATACCAAAATTCTTTAGCAGGAGCATTACCGATGAAGACATTCTGTAGCATACTCCCAAGCATTACTGTTAAGTTCCAGCTTGGGAGTATATATAGCATATATTATTTTTAAAATATGGATGAACCCTACATAAACCCTTTGTGCCATTAACTAAAGGTTCCTTGGGGCTGAAAAGA